ATCCTCCAGGAAATAAAGCCCGACTGCTCATTGGAGGGAAGGATACTAGAGACAAAGTTGAAGTACTTTGGCCACATCATGAGGAGACAGCAAAGCCTAGAGAAGACAATTATGCTGGGGAAGGTGGAAGGTAAAAGGAAGAGGGCCGACCAAGGGCAAGATGGATGGATGGCATCCTTGAAGTGACTGGACTGACCTTGAAGGAGCTGGGGGTGGTGACGGCCGACAGGGAGCTCTGGCGTGGGCTGGTCCATGAGGTCACGAAGAGTCGGAGACGACTGAACGAATGAACAACAACACAAGGTGATCTTATCATGGGGTTTTATTTGCAAGATTTGTTCACAGGAGGTTTGCCAATGTTTTCCTCTCAAGTCCCAGAAAAGATTTCCACAGCTGAACAGAGATCTGAACCCTATCTCCAGAGTCCTAGGCTGGATCTGCACTACCATATGATCCAGAGTATCAAACCAGATTATGCAGATTATCTGCTTTGAGTCTACACTGCCACACAATCCAGTTCAAAGCAGATAATCTGGATGTTATATGGCCATGCAGATGGGGTTGTAGTCAAACACCTGAACCACTACACTAACTCTCTTTGAGTATGTAGATTACCAGAATCACACTGAAATTGATGGGAAACATATTTTAGGTACAAGAACTACCGTATATTCTGGTGTATAATACAACTGGATGTATAAGACGACCCCCAACTTTTCCAGTCAAAATATAGAGTTTGGGATATATTCGCCGTATAAGACTACCCCTCTTACAACGCACACCAAATTTTTTTTAAAAGCATCAGATTTGATTTCAATATGGTAATTTTCCTATTACTGTATCTCCTTCTCTGCCTCTCAGATCTCGCACATGTGCACCTGCACCGCTTCACTGCAGTCTTCAGGAGCGGGATCTGAGAGGCAGAAGAGGAGGTATGGTAATAGGATACAAGGAAGGGCCAGACATGCAAAACAGTTGTGTTTTTCTGGGCCCAGAGCCACTCTATCTCTGTTTTCCATACCCCAGGCACCCCGGAAGCCTGCAGCTTGCTCCGCCTTTCACTTACACCTACCCGGTGAGGTGCACCTTCACCTCACCATCAGAACCGCATTAAGTCCATGAATACTGATGAATGGATTTTCTTCTACCGTACTTGTACAGCGTTGCCCTTAATGCTTTCATACAGTCGTTGCATATGGTAGGGACACGGCCATTGCTATTTTTGAGCTCCCCCCACCATATGCGGCAATCACAGATTCTCCAATCCGATTGTAAGTTTCAGCAACCACTCTATAAGACAACTCCCGTGTATAAGACGACTCCCGTGTATAAGATGACTCCCGTGTATAATACTACTCCCGCATATAAGACGACGCTGTGTATAAGATGACCCCTGACTTTTTAGAAGATTTTCTTGGGTTAAAAAGTAGTCTTCTACACTAGAATATACGGTATATGTATGTATACAGTAGAGTAGTGCATCTCAAGCCATCCAATGTGGGAAGCTAGCCATTTTCTTTTCCAATGTGCCAGGAACAGGTTCTGTATTTGTGCCCACTGTTTACAAATGTTTCTTTCTTTCCTGGAAACTCACCAGAGAAGAGCAGCCAATGGTTCATAGATAGACAATGGTTTATAATCCACCACTTTGCACTATAGCTCTCAGAACAGCTAACAAAACATTAAATTAGAGTACTATCTTGAGAGTTTACTAGTTAGATTTGCATGCCTTTCTTCCAATAAGGTTAAGGTGGCACACAAGCCTCTCTCCCTCCCCATTTTATCTTCACAAAAATCCTTTGAAGTACGTCACTCTGAGAGAGCATGACTGGCTTAGGGTCCTTCCAGACAGGCCCTATATTCCAGGATCTGATCCCAGGTTTTATGTTTATCCCAGATTATCCGGCAGTGCGGACTCATATAATCCAGTTCAAAGCAGAAAACCTGGGGTCCGATCCTGGGATATAGGGCCGGTCTGGAAGGGCCCTTAGTTCACCCGGCTCCATTGAGGGCTTGAATCATCAGTTCTCAGGTTCTAGTCCAACACTCTAACCACCATGCTATGCTAACTTCAAATGAAACATATGCAAATAGTGTTGAAGATTAATATCCTAATTTTCTATGTTAAAAGCTTTTGTTTATGCAAAATCTAAGATGTTTTTTGTTTGGAATTCAAGTGGATAGTTCCTACAGCCGTGTTAAAGGTAGTCTCTTTTTGGATCATCCCGTCCTTTAGAATCAATATTAATATTCCACTTCCTTCCCCCAAAAGTCAGGGTGTGTGTCTAAATGGGGTATACAGTAGAAAACCACATGTAGCTAAAATGCAAACATACCAAAAGTTAAGATTAAAACAAAGCCTACCTATAGAAGGATATAAGAATTAGATCAATAATAGTACAGCACTATTTTATTTATTTATTTATTTACTTTATTTGTATACCGCTGTTCTCAGCCCTTAGGCGACTCACAGCGGTTAACAACAAGAACAGCAAAAATTCAATGTTACCATAACACGGTATAAAAAACAGTTAACATCATAACATATTATAGAAAAGTATACAATTAACAACAATATACAATTAACACCAATAGCCATTCGCTAGCGTCTCATCACTAAAAACATGATCCAGATCTGTCATCCATTGTTCCATTCCTATGTTCATTACATTCATTGCACTGACTATTCAAAGGCCTGCTCAAACAACCAGGTTTTCACTTTTTTGCGGAATACCATTAATGATGGAGCTAGTCTAATGTCCGTGGGAAGGGCGTTCCACAGCCGCGGGGCCACCACTGAGAAGGCCCTATCTCTCGTCCCCGCCAGCCGTGCCTGGGAGGCAGGCGGGATCGAGAGCAGGGCCTCCCTGGAGATCTCAAAGTCCTAGTGGGTTCATAGGCAGAGATGCGGTCTGATAGGTAGCTTGGGCCGGAACTGTTTAGGGTTTTAAAGGCCAAGGCCAGCACTTTGAATTGAGCCCGGTAGCAAATCGGTAGCCAGTGGAGTTGGCGCAGCAGGGGAGTTGTATGCTCCCTGCGCTCTGCTCCTGTTAGAATCATGGCTGCCGAGCGTTGGACTAGTTGAAGCTTCCAAGCCGTCTTCAAAGGCAACCCCACATAGAGAGCGTTGCAGTAGTCTAAATGGGATGTAACCAGAGCGTGGACTACCGTGGCCAAGTCAGACTTCCCAAGGTACGGGCGCAGCTGGTGCACAAGCTTTAGCTATGCAAATGCTCCCCTGGTCACCTCCGAAACCTGGAGTTCCAGGCTCAGTGATGAGTCCAGGATCACACCCAAGCTGCGAACAGAAAACCAGTGATATAAAACAATCAGTTCTGAAAGGTCTGATTGAATATAAAAATCTTGACACTAAAAGGAGCTACTTTTGAAAGGGAGTTCTAGAGTCCTCTCCCATCTTTCCACAACATGTCTTCTCCACCCTTTTGAAGCTCAAACCCCACTTTTAAGCAAAGTTTGAAAAATGAAGTATCAAGCCCAAGTTATTCAACTTTACAAATGTGGAGAGATTATTATGACCCGTTATCTGTAAAATCTCTTCTCATATGAATAGATACAGGCCTGCATTTTGTTAGTCGCAAAAAGAATAGGCTTGCAGTCAATTGTTGGATTGTAGATCAATACAAAGATACACTCCAGCTATGCAGTGGGTCAAGAAATTAAGAATAAGATTCAAACCACAGCATTTGGTTGTTTCACCAAATTCCCATTGCAATATAGAATGTAGCTTTGAGTTCATCTTTATCCAGGATTTTTAAAGAACAGGTAGAAATTGAAGAACTAATACTTTTTTGGTGTCAGGAGCAACTTGAGAAACTGCAAGTAGCTTTTGGTGTGAGAGAATTGGCCATTTGCAAGGACGTTGCCCAGGGAACACCGGGATGTTTTGCTATCCTGTGGGAAGCTTCCCTCATGTCCCTGCATGGGAAGCTGGAACTGACAGATGGGAGCTCATCCCACTCCCCTGATTCAAACTGCCAACCTTTTGGTCAGCAGTTCAGCCAGCACAAGGATTTGACCCATTGCATCACTGGGGACTCCTAACTGGGACTATTACATGGGAATTCAACTTTTCTTCCATCAGATTTGTCAGGAAAATGAAAAACTAGTTTTTGAAACTTGGAAAGCAGAAGATAAAGCAGCCCTTTTTACTTTCTGAATACAAGAAAAAAGCTTCATCATGAGAAAAGCACCTAGAAATGCTATTTTACTTTGCTTACTTATCATAATCTGTTTTTTTCTCAATATGAAAGTCTACACAAAACATAATGTAAAGATTACACCATTTGCACTAACATCAAATACAGAAGTCTCCACCTGGTGCCACACTCTACCTGGATTCAAGGTAAATTTTTTGCAATCCCATTATCCTTAGTACTCAGTATGTTAACTTAGGCTGACACCTTCGTGCGTATTGAGATCCCCTTCATTGCACTGCACCTCAGAGATTCATAGTCATGGAGTGGAGTGCTTTCTCAATCTGCTTCATGGGTTTGATGGAGTTGGCCACGGCCACAACAAATCGACTAGCTCCAGCAATTGCTGTCCCTGGGCAAAACATCCCACAATTTACAATCTGCAGACTGCACAGCGGGCAGTAGCTTTAGCTACATGTGCCGCTGAGAATGGAGAAAACTAACAGCAGCAGATAATAAAGAGATTCTCAATTAATGCCTCTCTGTGACACACTCAAAAGCCGACATCACTCTTCTACATTATTGGTAAGGCTAGAAATCCCCTCTACCACACCTTTTAGAGCCAAAACACCTAGCCCTGGAGCACCTTCAACTCTAGGCCACACCTGTCTGGAAAAACTTGCAAAAGCCCTTGTTTGTAGGATCTAATCTGAGAAAATGTTAAATACCCATTAAGTCATTTACTTTGCAAGGAACCAGTTCACCTTCCTTAAAACACATACCTATGTGTTACAGCCATTTCTGTCAAGGGCAACAGATGCCAAAAATATTCATAAATGAGCTTACCTTATCAGGGAGAAGACACCACCTCTGAATATCAGCTGTACAATAAAAAAGAAGGGGCATAACAAAAACTGGGAAGAATCTAGTAAAGAAGGACTACGACAAATAATAACCAGATTTGATGGGGAAATTGCATTCAGCTCAGGCACAATACAAAATCCAAGGCATTCAGAGCAGAACTCATGCTTTCCCTGTTGCCTGGCTTGTAGCTGACAAGAATGGATGCTTAAGAGCCATGCTTATATAATAGCAGGCTCCTGGTAACAATAAGATAGAAAGGCAGAAGTTGGCTTTCTCTAGCTGGTCCTTTTCACAAGGGAATAAACACACACAGAGAGAGACAGAAACTAGAAAGCGGAAAAGAGAGGTGTAGAGAGAGAAAGAGTCCCCAGAGCTTTTTCTTGCTTGCTGAGGTCTGAAGGAAGGGAATATCGTGTTGTGTAGAAAGAGACTGCTAACAGTTAATGCCATGGAAACAACCCCATCCAAGAGATTGAAGGAGTCAGGCTGTTGAAGGAAAAGAAGAGGGGAGGGGAATGCACTTTGCATATCCGGGAGAGCTTGTGTAGTGGCTTGTTAAGCTGAAATATGATCAGAAGAGCCACGTATAGCTGAGAGGGCAGACTCCCAGCTGCTGCTTGGGTCTCACACAGATGGGTTTTGCTTTGTCGTGACATCGAGGCAGGGCTAAATTTGTTGCAAGATGCACAAGAGCAGTTCCTCCAGCCTTCTCAGTGACTAGTTCTTGTAAAACAGGCTGTGGGGAAGCTATGAATTTATGCACATACAGTTAAATTATAGATGAATTAACATCTGTGGGTTAGAGGCCAACCACAGACAGTAAGGATTTTTTTTCCAAATCAGCATCGGTTTCCATGGGAACAAGGGCAGAAATGTTCTTTGGACTTGTAAATTAAACATAGGTAGAACACTCTTATGTTGTACATGATTTCCTCGCTGAGCATGCCGCTTTTAATGGTCCAACTGGTTTCCAACATAACAATTTTTAAAGAATAAAATGTATTTTTCCTACAATTCTTGCTACCCAGTGGACAGAACATAATGTACACGCATACATATTCTGTATCCACTAAAATGGGGGTATTCTGGTATAATTTTTGTGGCTCTGGTGAAGATAATATCTGTGATATGATCAGAGCACTCAGAATGCACCATGTGAATGTTATATATTTATTCATTAATGGCATGGTGCAAAAGTACTCAAGTTGCATAATTCATGCCAGTCAAAAATATTTTGATTCCCTCACAGCAGACATTTTAAAATATGTAAGTTCTTCTGAAAATATTTCACAGTAATTTTTTTCATGTCAGGAGAGATTTGAGAAATTGCAAGTCGCTTCTGGTGTGAGAGAATTGGCTGCCTGCAAGGATGTTGACCAGGGATGTTTTATCATCCTGTAGGATGGTTTACCATCTTTCTCTCATGTCCCTGCATGAGAAGCTGGAGCTGACAGGTGGGAGCTCATCCTGCTCCCTGGATTCAAACTGCCTACCTTTCAGTCTGCAGTCCTGCCAGCACAAGGGTTATAGATAGACAGGCATATAAGGTATGGCAAGGCACCTGGCTCAAGAGGTAGGGCACAAAGGGAAGCTGAACCAACATCAAAAGGGACCAGCTCCCATGAGGCTTTCAAGATACCCCCAAATGGCCATGGAAATGTTGTTATTGTACCACAGGGAGAAGAAAGGATAGCTGCAGTTGTTCCTCTGGCAGGGAACACATTGTGACACCTTGGACAATTCTAGCGTTGACAATCCAGGTTTTATGTAGATCATGATGTTTCATCACAATCAGAGAAGTCATATTTTAGGATCTGTTTCCTAGAATCAGAAGTATGCGTGCTGCTCCAGGCCAAATTTATTTACAAACAGCTATTTATCATAAATGAGATTTTCCTGCTTCTTGGCAGGCAGGTTGGACTGGATGGCCCACGAGGTCTCTTCCGACCCTATGATTCTATGATCTATAATAGTGGAACCATACTGAGATTGATTTTCTTTCATTCGTTTTCAGAATTTCCCAAAGAATTGCTTCAAGTCCATGCACTATGGAGCACCATAACACTGAGAAGCATTGACAGGTCCAGCAGAACTAACATACTTTTCAGAAGTATGTATTGTATATAATGGCACTTGAGTTCCCACACAGATTTTGGGATCCAGTGGATGTGAGAGTTAGTGGTATTTTCAGTGCCTCACTCTGCAGTGCTAGAAATTTGGAGGATGAAGGAAAATGTTTGGGGAAGAAGAATTATTCTTTAGCATGGCAATATTTTCCATCCAGATGGAAAATCACTATAGCCTGCACTTTTCTTTAAAACTGAATCTAAAGCTGTGTTGTCCAGAATTAATTAGGCAAGTGTTACTATATTCAAAATGGATCCCTACAGCCCAAACGCTGCAGACACAAAGAAACAATAGCTATTTTTTCTTTGGATATATGAAGTGTGTTCAAATATACAACAGGCCCCCTACGGAATAGAGCTCTGAACTAGAAACATTAGGAAAAACTGGTGCATGTTGATAGATTCCCATGAGACAGAACACAATGTTACTCAAATAAATAAACAACAAATGAAAGGTCGCTTTCATTGTTCAAAGCACAACTTGTCAGACTTAGTAAATAACAAAAAAGAGATATCCAAATATAGTTGCAAATGTTACATTAGACGAAAAGTTTCCCTTTCCAAATTAACCAAATTCTACACAAGCTGCAAACTAGAGGAACTACGTATGTATAAACAAGAGTTAAACTAAGAATATGGAATGAGACAGACACAACTTTGTTTAATGTTGACAACAGAGCTTACTTCTGAGTTGCTCAATACTTCTGAACTGCATTGGTAGTATAAGTAAAGTGCTGCTCTATAGAGAAAGTGTTTTTGCCCCTTCCACACACACACTTTATTCTCATCACAAAAATCATTTCGGCTCCCACCCAAATACCCACAAATACTCTCATAGTCACATATGAGTAAACAAACATCCCCACAGTTTTTTAAGTGGCTGGAAGAAAAACTTTGAATTGTTCCTGATCCCCTCCTACTTTTTCTCACTTTTGCTTCTTCAACAGCAATAAGAGTGCCTGTCCATTCGTATCCACTTCTGATTCATTGATAGGTGATTTCCATCTTCCCCAAACAGCCTCCCATCCACTTTTTCTATTGATTGATGGGCTAGCATAGGCAAAACATCCATTGTTGTTGTTCATTCGTTCAGTCATCTCCGACTCTTCGTGACCTCATGGACCAGCCCACGCCAGAGCTCCCTGTCGGCCGTCACCACCCCCAGCTCCTTCAAGGTAAGTCCAGTCACTTCAAGGATGCCATCCATCCATCTTGCCCTTGGTCGGCCCCTCTTCCTTTTACCTTCCACTTTCCCCAGCATAATTGTCTTCTCTAGGCTTTGCTGTCTCCTCATGATGTGGCCAAAGTACTTCATCTTTGCCTCTACTATCCTTCCCTCCAATGAGCAGTCGGGCTTTATTTCCTGGAGGAAGGACTGGTTGGATCTTCTCGCAGTCCAAAGCACTCTCAGAACTTTCCTCCAACACCACAGTTCAAAAGCATATCTTCCTTCGCTCAGCCTTCCCTAAGGTCCAGCTCTCACATCCATAATGTAGATTTAATGATGCTAGTGATTGGGATTGCTCATGATAAAGTTATGAATCCAAGACTTATGCTAAACATTTTGCATAGTGGAGCCTTTTTATGTTCCCAAAGGTATTTTCATGACTTTTGGGACAAATTCACACATACACAATTGGAGAAAAATGTTCAAAATCACTTCTTAAAACAGTGGTTCTCAACCTGTGGGTCCCCAGATGTTTTTGGCCTTCAACTCCCAGGAATTCTAACAGCTGGTAAACTGGCTGGGATTTCTGGGAGTTGTAGGCCAAAACACCTGGGAACCCACAGGTTGAGAACCACTGTCTTAAAACCCCCAAAGAATGTGATGCCCTTCTGTCCCCCTTTCCAAGCCTGTTTCAAGCCAAGATGGGCCTATATATCAAGTATGTGGAATGGAAAGATTGGTATCAGATAGCATTTCTTTTATGTGTTTTTGGGGAAAATTTAGATAGTGAGAATACAGAAGATCAGATTGCGAATGAAGCCCACAAATACTCCATGTATGCCTGACACAGTCTCACAATCCATGGAAATTTCTCATTCCTGCTTTATATTCTATTCAGTTTATAAATAAATGCAGATTTAATTTAGAAATCCAAATATATGCTTAAAACCATGCCTGTGCCGATGATCAATGGGCTTTGTTTGTTTTTTGGTTTCACTGCAAAACAAAAGTCTAATCAAAAGGAAGTAATGCTTTGTTCATGATGCTTTTCAAAGCAGACTATGGACAATTTGTACAGTGTAATCTTATCTACATTTATTCCCAAAGGAAGCTTCACTGAGTCCAGCAAGGTTTATTCTCCATAAATGGATATAGGCTTGCCTGCTGATCTCTCTAGGCAGTGTCACAATTTCAAATTCAAAACAAGCAAGGATTTGAATTCTTTAGATATACAGCAATGATTAATCTTTCTGCAGTAATCCATCAGTTCTAATGGCTTGTGAAATGCTGGTTTTATCCTCTGCCTTGAAGAAGGGCCTGATTAATGCTTCCCTAATACTCTGGCAGTTACTGCCACTACTAGTCAGGTCAATATTTGAAGATGTGTATTGAGCTGAGAGTTTCTGGCTGGTATGTAGCCAAAGGCAAGAAGTTCACCAGCTGGGCCTGACCAGTCCACAACACACAGGGAGGCATCCTTTCAGAGCAGACAGCTGCTATGAAAAGGAGTCCAAACCTAAAAAAAAATAAAAAATATGCATGTGCAACTTAAGCTGCTTTCAAACTACTTGATACTAATGGGGTAAAAATGAGCCAATAGTTTTCTAAAGAGTCTTTGTTAGCATTCAGCTTTTTGATCCTACAAAGAGAGCCAAAATATCTTCCTGGTTTGCATGTTACTTTTCTGATCAATGGGATAAGAAATACAGCAGGCAGCTAGCCAAAATAATTCATTTGATGTTCAGAAGGCTAAGAATTCACTCCTGCCCTAGACCAGGGGTGGCATTCACACTGTCCTCTAGGTATTTTTGGACTGGCACTTCTTTAGGACTTCAGGAAGACTAAAAGGTCTGATTCCCACTCCTACTCTGTACTTAAGTTCTCATGCACTTTGTTTTCATATGCAGATAATATGTGCCACATATAGAAGAGGATCCTTGTTTTCACTGCAGAGACATTTGTGCACTGACCTTGCTTGAAAATAAGTGCAAATAAAATATTTTTGCTAGAATTATTAAGTTATTAATTATTAATTATTAAGAATTATTGAGTCCCCCTTCGGGGGGAGAAGGGCAAGGTATAAATATAGGAATGAATGAATGAATAAATAAATAAATAGATTCTGAATCTGTGATACAAAAGCAAGCCGGACCTGGGTGTTATCAGTTCAAAATTCACCTCAGTCAGTTTTATTTTATCTGTATCCCCACTCAGCCATGGCTTCCTTCTGGGTGATCTTGGGCAAGTCGCATTCCCTCTGCTTCAGAAGATAGAAAGGGCAAACCCTCTGAACAAATCTAAGACAACCCCATGATTGGTCTATTCTAAGTTGGAAATAATATGAAGGGTCACAAAACAACAAAGCCACCTAAGTCATTATTTGGTGTAAGGGCAAATCAAAACATAGCACACAACATAAATAGTCTCACACAACCACTCTCCTTCAACCAACCACTGACATAATATGGACAGAATAATATGGATTTCCATAGTTCCCTATGCAGTTCATATTAACCATTAACAAAATCAAAAACAATAAAGAAATATACACGCAGACATTGCTTCAATCTTTTTGAGAATATTTATTTTGTTTTATTGATATGCCACCTTTCTGTTGGATCAGGACCCAAGGCAGCTCACAAAAAGAATTAAACTTGACAGTAAAAATTTTAAAACAATGCAATCACTATTACAATAAAACCATATAAAATTCTTTTAAATGCATTTAAAAATTAAAAATCAAAACATCTCCTACACTAAGAAACCTCTCTGTGAGAAATTATACTTTAAAAGTCAGCTTAAACCAAAATATCTTTGTCTGCTGGTGAGAGGAGAGCAGGAAGTTGGCAAGCCTATCCTCCATTGAAAAGGAATTCCAGAAGGTGTGAGAAATGAATGGGTCTCCTGTCCTCACTAAGCAAGCTTGTGATGGTGGCAGGACCAAAGCCTTTCCTTGGAGTTTAAAACTCTGTCAAGGTTCATACAAGGAGATACGTCCTTTCAGAAAGTCTGGACCTACACTGTATGGGGCATAATAGGTTGTGGCCAACCCTTGAATTACATCCAGAAACAAATCAGTTACTAGTGAAGTTGTTTTACTAAGGGTGTTTATTATATGCTGTAGGTTACAAACAGTTTCCAAATGCATCTCCATATACTGTGCATTATAGTATTCCAAATGGAAAATAATCAAAGGAAAATATGATAGTAAAAATATGTTGATTTGGAAAGGTCAGCATAACATGCATAGAATGAAAAGTGTGTAAAAATATGTGTGCAATTCATTTTTTAAAAATCAGAAATTGATGATAAAAGTGCACAGAATGAATGTTGGGAAAATGAAATAGTGAGTGAAATCAGACTTGAAAAGTCATCCTTTTCTAAGAAGAGTCATGAAAAACTAATTTAGAATGGATTCCTGGACAATTATTTTTTCTTCAGCTTGAAATTTTGGCTCAACTCTTAGCACTTTGATTGAACAGAAATATGACCTGTTAACATAAGATGAATGTCTACTGCATATGCATGTGCTGTTGAGATTTCACTCTGATTTTACCTCCTTGATCTAGCACAGACAAAAAATCTGATTAATGATGTTTAGTCATGACCAAACAAGCAGAGGAGTGCTCCGAGTAGCCCGCCAAGAAACATGTGAGTAATTCCAGAATAACCTCAAATGAGAAAATGAACTTGCTTTTTCTATGTGTTCCCAAGACTTTCAAAGTTTTCTAGAAGTGCATCACCTGTATGGCATAAAGCACTGAGTAAATCAAAGAAAGATTACTAACAGTTAAGAAGAGGTGGGAGGCAAAGAACATGGAGAAGTGAAAAACAATTATCAAACTGCAAAAAGTAAGTGATGTGAAGGTAGGAAGGGGATATGGATACATCCTATGGCCACAATGGGTATTCTGATGGTCCAAATTAAATGTACAAACCAGGGGTTTCACTACTCTGGATTCTTAGAAATCTATTCATGTACCAACAAAAAAGGAGACAGACTTTGAATTTCAGTGTTCAAGTTTCCTTATCCTGGGCTTTTTGTACAATATCATTTTTGAAGACATGTTGGGGATATCACACCATCTTTCATTCTCCTTTCGAAATCATATGCCAGGAAGTAATCACAGGAAACATTCACTGAAGGAGGTGAGTGGCAGCTAGATTGTTATTTGTGCCCCATCATTGCCACAGAATAAAATCACAAGCTGTACAGTTTAGCAGCTTGTGATGGGAGTAAGGGTGTGCAACAAGGCTCTATATTGGATGTTGTCAAAATTTGCAGTCACAGGTAAACTGGAACACAACATTTGTCACAGAGCAAATTTTAGGTTTACACCATTTGAAAGCTACTTCATGCTTTCAAAAAACAATTAACAGCTACACCACTTCAATGCAGTATTTCATTGTGTTACCAATGAGAAAGAACAAGATGAGTAAAAAAAGCCAGCACATATGTGTAGCGACGATAAAGAAGACAGGCAGTCCAGGAGGGTGAGGGTGATCTCAAAGGTTTATTGACTAGTCAAGCTGTTTATATATCTTTCTTGTGCTCTTTGCAAAGCTTGCATAGTAACAGTGAGTTGGATTACATCATTYGCAGAGTGATTGGCTAGAGGTGAGSMCATCRTAAGGTGAGGTAGCCTARAYCCTACTATCAGTCCCAGGTCATGATMCRCCRTGRATCCCCTTGCCAYAAAGGTGTGAAACATAAGTGTCAGAGGACTGGAATCTGCCARGTTTRCCTGGAGGTATGGTTTGCCAGTCCCCCCTGGTGGTACATTGCCATTCCTGCACCTCTGCACTAGGGACACAATGGTGTCTCTCCTGCATAAGGGACACTAATAATGATAATGTCCCTTCACATATGAAGAACTTGGCTTTGACAGTTTAAAGACAGTAAAATAAGGCATGAAAAGGTATTAATATGTCTTTATTTCTCTAGTAACCAGTCTATAGTTTTGGACTACATATCCCAGGAAATTCCCCACAGGATGATCAATGGGAGTCACAGATTAAAGCTTGCAAGTTCTCAAAAGCAACATATCACACTGTCCATGAGAAGAAAACAGGTACACAGAAATGTATGCGCCACAGCTGTGCCTGTATGATCAGGCATCAAGGACTCTGTCATTTTACATTAGATTACATAACAGGTGCTTCTACTTATACTAGGATAGGCAGCCCAGCTCCACAGCCTATTTCTGTATAGAACAAAGGCTTCGGGTTGAATTAAAGCACCGAGCTATGATGGTGAGAGCGATGGAATCTATTTGGCTCTGAGAAAAAGCTACCCTGCAACTTGTATTCTGTGTGGGTATATCACAGGGCAGTTGAATTACCCCACAATCATTTTTGCAACCTTTTCTGCAACCTTTTCCTTCTAGGTTTATGCTTCTTACTCGTGGGTTCATTAGGCTTTGACAAATTGTCTTCTAAGCATAAGAACCACTTGAATAATACAAACAATGGTGGGAGGACTGGCTGCAAAAGGAAAACTTCACCTTCTGGAATAAAGAAAGGAAGAAATTGGTTTCCATTAATCAAGAAAGCCTCTACCAATGAGCTAAATCATGAACCACTGTCAAAAAAGTAGATGCTGCCAGATATTTTAAGATACAGATGCTGCAATGCATTTTAAATTCTAAACAAAGAAAACACATACATGGTATATCCACTTTTGCTTTTTAATTAGCTACCCAGATTGCTTATTCATAAGCAGCTAAACAGAACCACCACCTTTAGTCTTTTGATGTCATCTCTAAATGATGAGATGCTCTCATTTTCCCATGCTAAACCTTGGGAATGGATTCCCCATATTAGTTTCCATAGTAACATACACAACAAGAAGGAAAATGAAGATAGCAAACACTGCCATCTTTACACGGGTTGGTATAAGTTCTTCTACTGGCTTCTCAAACACCTGAGATTTTGCTACAGAAAGTTGCTTCACTGAAGGTGTCTTTGCTTGTACCGTCCTTCTTCTAGTACTAGAAGAACAAGAAACAGCATGATGAGGATCTTTGTAAACATCCAGACTGAAACATTACCTGGTATTTCATAAACATAGACATGCAATCTCAACCCAGAGCAGCATTCTCAAGAAGTGAGAGCTGAATCCAAAACACCTGGAGGACCAAAGATTGAAAACCATTTATTTAGAGGAATGAACTGGCAAAGCCACTTGTCAGTATGCTTTGCTTAAGAAAACCATAGAAAATTCAAGGGGCCATTATAAATTGACAGGTGACTTGAAGGCACATACACATAGATGGAATTTCAACATAAATTTATTATCTGTATAAAATAAAATAGACATAGCAAAGTGGTGCTAGGAATTCCAAGATTCTGGACACCAGAATCTACACACTGCTAGCAGCTTTTTAAAAAACCTATCCTTTCCCTAAAAGATTTCAAGGCAGGCCTTCTAACAATAGCTTCTCCAGTCTGCTCAACCACTGCTACAGTTAAACTCCATCCCAACCCCAAATGTCCATGAGCTACATCCTTGGGATTTTAGTCTATTGGTGCTATCTTCCTCTCTCAACAGATAACTTGATTAGAAGAGGCACTACAGCCTAAGTTAATCAATCTTCAACCTAGTGTATTATTAACTTACTTCAGATCTACTTCATAATTAAATTATACATTACACACACAAGCACAGAATACTCTAAAAGCAGCAGAATTTTACAGCCTTTTTTGCATACAGTTTCTCATCAAATAAATGTGAACAGTAGTCACATGTGTTTTTTATTTATTCCAATTTGTATCAATCCTACTTAGTATTGTTTTATCTATGACTATCACTGCTGCCTAGCACTATTTCTCCTCTGACTGGGAATATTCATGAAGTTAATACCTCAAACAAGAGTTATTTCTCAACATATTAGAAGCTGTAAAGCAGCCTCTATCATACTTCCAAGAGCAAGGAAAAGCCTACTGATTTATAGAGTATGCTTGTCAGACTTTTTAAGGAAATCCTAAAGAGATTACCTTACTCCTACACGGTTAGCATCAGGATAGCCATAATCTATGTGTGGAGGATGATTTATCTGCAAAAGGAAAGAAGGTTTATAAATAGGTGAATTTGCATAAGCATCTTACCTATATATTATGATTTTTTCATGCAAAGTAAAGCAAACACTTCTGAAATAGGAATACTAATGTGTTGTTTTGTATAGTACACTTTAATGACATCTTGCTTTTGTTCTTTTATCATCTGCCTAATTCCCCGAAGATAGCTAAAGATGCTTTAAGGGTGTCCTCCTTTTCTTAATAATAATAATAATAATAATAATAATAATAATAATAATAATAATAATAATGACTTATTTTTTATACCCTACCTCCATCTTCCCAAAGGGACTCAGGGTGGCTTACAGGGACAAGCCCAGCGAGCACAGAGTTAAAAACATAATGCAATAAAATCATATCAAAACAAAACCAAATAGAAACATATCACAATAAAACGTAACATCATAACAACAGTACCATGGAGAGCAAAAAATGTGCTGAGTTCAGAGGGTTCTGAGTTTGTGCAAAATTCCTAGACAGAGCTAAGGGAAAGTGCAAAATTCAGGGTCAGGAATGGGAGAGTAGTGTTCTTGGGCATTAAAATGTCAGGGTTGTAGAGCGGAGGGTCATGCTAAAGTGCCGGAACGTAGGTATTATTGGGCCAATTATTTGGAACTGCCTAGTTAAAGGCACAGGGGAACATCCATGTTTTTAGGTTATTTTATCAGGTTAATTTCCATAATCTGTCATAGGCCACTCTTACTCCTAATGGTTTCTGACATCAAAACATGGATAAAGGTTTTCCCCTGACATGAAGTCCAGTCGTGTCTGACTCTGGGGTGTGGTGCTCATCTCCATTTCTAAGCCGAAGAGCCGGCATTGTCCGTAGACACCTCCAAGATCATGTGGCTGGACCTTCCCACTGGAGCGGTACCTATTGATCTACTCACATTTCCATGTTTTTGAACTGCTAGGTTGGCAGAAGCTAGGGATGTCAGCGGAAGCTCACGCCACTCCCCAGAATCAAACCTGTGACCTTTTGATCAACAAGCTTAGCAGCTCAGCACTTTAACCCACTGTGCCACCGGGGGCTCCATTCAAAACATGACAAATAGTTTATCATGAGAGAACTGCAAAGGTGTTAATTCATCTTGGGCAAGATCTCTACAACTATAGAAAGGTACAGCCCTCAGAGGAGTCCTTTCAGAAGAGGCTATTTTTGATGTCTAAATGTATTGTTTCAACTACTAGCATCTTAACCACCCCCCACCCCCACCCTGCAAAGATAGAGCTCCATACTGAGCCTTAGATATTAAGGCATACATACCTTAATTTATTGTCAGCAGATCATTAAAATATCATGTTAGATATATTATAAACAAAAATCAGGGCATTCAAATAAAAAAATTACAAAGCCTTGGAGCTGGATAGCCACGAAAGACTCAGAAGAGCGCTCAAGGAAACATTACATTATGGGGTACAGTAGATCTTCCTTAGGCTGGGTGCGTGCATGTGGGTGAAAAAGTACATGTTATTACAGAGCAGATACAAAATGTGTAATTATTTTGGTAAAGAAAAGAGAAATACAATAAATTTCAGCTGTTAGGCAACTGACAAGAAACATATACAATCTGATACAGTAGCCGTAGCTCTTTAGGATAATACCTATGAAATTGCTACACAGCACATCATTGCAAGAGTACCTTTTGTTTGCAGCTCGGTCCAGGGCTGCTACCAGATTTTCTCCTTGTGGTTGGTCCTTGTGACCGATTCAATGCCACCTTGCCCTCTGGCAATATTTCCTGTAGCTATTAATAGATGATATTATTATGAAAAGTGATCTTGCAACACCTTAGAGACTGAGAGAACAAAGTGAGTAGTATAAGCTTGGGCACACTAAGTCTTCTTCCTTATATGCAATATTATATTAATTCCTCATGCATGCACTATTATATTAATGAAATAATAAGAGGCAGACTAACAAGACAGAACAGGTACAAAACAACGATTAACTGCTGTTTCTGAGTATCTTTGAAATTTGCTAAAATATATCTGCTTGCAGGCAACAGTCATACCATTTTTTTGCATTAGAAGCTACAAAAATATATGCCTGATCTACTAATCTAAAGTGGCCATGGAAAACAGATCTGATTTTCATTGTCTAATTATATGCTTGCAGCTATTCGTTTTCAAGCAACTTGCCACTGATTATAGCACAAAGAATTTGGACAATGTGTTTCTCTGCCATCATCTTTCACTGATGGTCCCCAATTAAGCTCTACTATAGGTATGTGTGCATCCATGTGTATAGCAAAAGAGTCTATAAAAAAGAGAACACCTCAACTACTTTTCTTCTATTTAATGGAAATGGGAAAACAGGCATGGTCCAGGACTTAATTCTGGATAAGCATGCTAACCTCACTTACAGATGCCTGGCAGGGGAGAGGGGAAACTCTCCAGGGTTTGCCCACTTTAATGTTCTGTACAGCAGCAGATGGCGGCTAGTGGAGAAGGGGAGCAGAGCTGTAAAGATCTATCATAAGTCCATCTTCTTTACCAGATCTGTTGGGTGTGAGTGTGCGTATTTGAAGGTGGGTGGCCAGGATAGAAGTGCGATTATGTTGATTTATCACCCATTAAACTGCTCAACAGTCTCCTTTCATGAGCTGACTCAGTTGGTCTTGCCACTGGTATTGCAGTGCTGGGGATCTTCAACACCCACATGAAGACTGCTCTGTGATGAGCAGTTGAGGACCTCAGCCAAATGTGTTGCACTGATTGGACTGGGACTTTTTGCAGGTACAGATTGTATACCACACTGAGCCATAAAATTCACTACTCCTTGACTCTTGTTCTTTCCAAATAGATGTGAATAATAAATTAGAAAGCTCCATGTAGTATATTTACTCGAGTCTAATGCACACCTTTTTTGGCTAAATTACATTGCCAAAATTGAGGTGTGCATTAGATTTGATAGCGAGTTAGAACTGTGCAAGTAAAACCTACTGTGCCATTGGGCCTGGTGCCAGGCAGCAGCATGAGCAACAAGCAAAGGGAAGCCGCGCCCTTCTGTCAAGCCAAGACTGGTGAACCACAACAAAAAAAGAAAAACAGGGCTTCAATGGGGGAGCTCCAGTTTTAGTCCCCTCTCCCTCCTTCCAGACCTCCTCCTCCTCCTTTTTTTTTTTTTTTGGTAACGCACTTTCAGAATTGAGGTATGCATTACATTCAATGGTGCGATACTCAAATAATTAAGGTATATCACCTTGGACACACTGGAGAAAAAGTAAACTACACATGTAACTAATGATTTTTAAGTAAATTTGAATAACCCAAAAAAATCAAGATTTATAGATATATTAATCTCTAACTGAGTCAGAGTAACTACTTACCTCTGCCACTATTTTGGCCAAACTGTGTTCAATATTAGATGATAACAGTTTCTTCTGGCGTTCTTCAACATCTACAGTTGGCTTCTATGACAGAAGAGAAATAGTTAAAAACATGACTGAAAGCTAAAAGACAGGGGAAAAAATCACATAAAATGTGCTGCACTGAGATGATACAAGTTCTCATTCATGACTCATGACCCTTCAAGCGGTCATTAGTGCTGTCACACGGATGGGTTCCATATCAGCACCAATCACTAATCAGAGCTCTAGTGATGCCTATAAAATGGTGTTTACTCATCTCTTGAAGATAAAAACTTATGCACATGCTTCAAAGGGTAGTGAAAGACCTGCTGAAATCAAGAAGTAAACATTCCCATGCTCCTACTATGGTAAATAAAGAAAATGAAACAAAGATGGTACAAATGCTTTTATGTTTTATTTTTGTTTTATGCTTGTTTTATTTCTGATATAATAGGTTGTGTTTAAATTTTATTCTAATTTTCTCAGTTATATTTTGTTTTTATATGCTGTGGAGTTTATTTTTTGTTATTATGTGTGTATTGGTTATGTTCAGACATTGAATGTTTGCCTTTTTTGTGACTGGAATCCACCCTGATTCCCTTCGGGGAGATAGGGCAGAATTTAAATAAAGTGTTGTTATTGTTGTTGTTGTTGTTGTTGTTGTTATAGTTTTCTCATGCAAAATGTATAGGAGGAAGATTTTTTTCCCCTAGAGAGGAGGAGCTATAGGAACTGGTTTACAAGGTATCCATTCTTAACAGTTCTGAACCATTTATTGACAGATAAAGAATTAGTGTGTGCTTTCCCAGAATTCACAAAAATCTCATTATGAATTTGAAATTAAATAACAATCACAAGTAATTTGAAAGGGGGAAAATCTTCCATCTGCAATGTATTGGCAAGGACCATATCAATATCTCATAGGCTCCCAAGTGACTCTTTTCAGACTTCAGGAGCAAAAACTTTAAAGAATGTATAAAGACTACAAGGCATTGTGGTCTGTTTCAGGTGACCTCAGTTCCCCAACTCTGAAGCTGGCTGCAGAAGGAACAGAAGAATGAAGAGTAGTTGGGCACTGGAAAAGTTGCTGAGGAAATTGTGGGATCTAATGTCCCAATTAAGAGGCTTGTCAAGTACAGCAGGCCCTCCATATTCATGGATTCTATAGCCACACTTTTGAAATATTTTTTTTTAAATCCCAAAAGCAAACCTTGACTTTGCCATTTTATATAAGGGACACCATATTACTATGTCATGGAGTTTGACATCCACAGGTATTCCTGTGCCTAGGCCCTACTGAAGCATGATTCAAGGTTATCATTATTTTTGATACAAAATGGCTAGACCTGATCAGATGTGAGGGTGACCTCTCTAGGTAGATGTGGCAGGTGACAAGAAGTTCAAGTTTATCTTGGACCTCTTACTCAGAATATCATTTACCAGACCAAGTATCAAAGCAGCAAATTGAATTTTATTGAAGATCAATAAAACACTTCTGCATAGCTATGATTCCATTTCTAGATTGTGTAACACGTACATGTTCCCAGCTATAATGCCCACTGACTTTCCATCTGTAAAATAAAGTTGGCTCATCCTTAAATACCTGAGTAGGCTATTTTGCATCAGATTTCCTAGGGCTCTAATGCATTAACAGCAGCCACAGAATAAATACATTCTAATTATGTGATTGGAGTAATTGCCTGACTTGTCAGGAGACTGACACAAAGTACATCAGTTTATATTATTTTATAATCTCCTGCATTTAATTGCATCCATAAAATATTCATGCTTTGGGTTACTTACATTACCAAGCCCAGAGGCACATTCAGCTGTCACTCTGAGGTTGTTTGTTTGGAGGACTACTTCTGTGGTTTGCCCTGTGTTAAAATGTGGGGGGGGGGGGGGGAAGAAATTGAGTAACTTTCACTGAATATTCGGAAATATAGGTATCCATTACCAATTAGGAACGGCATGTTTCAGGAACCAAATTTCCTAACATGTATCCTTGTCTATATGTGCGTGAATAATGCCCACAAGTGTAGTCTTAAAAGCACAGACAGCAGATACTGAATCCTGATAATCAGCTGCTGAGGAAGGAGAAGCAGGATGGGGATCATGATGAACCGAAGGAGAGGAGAGGAGAATTCTGTCATGAGAGAGTACTGCATTCTGAGACCTAAAGGATTCTGCTGTTATCATGTGGGGTGTTACAGGCTTTCTTCTATTATCTCAGTTGCTGAAAATATTGCTTGTTGGCCACCAAAACTATTTACATGTGTAAAGAGTCTGTCATCACAGCATCCACGAGAAAATTCTGATCCTTCTAGATCATGGATAATTAAAACTCTCTGTCTGGAAATCTCAAGTTTTAATTAAAGTTTGCTCAGGCATTTGCCCAATGTAATCAATACCAACTGTATTGCAATTTGACCTCCTGGTGTGCACTTTCTGATATAAATGTGATCTATGAAAACAAAGGTATGCATTATGCAGGCACACTAAGGAAGAAAAAGCAGACCTACAGAATGAGCAGGGACACACGTCTCTGGTCTCATGTACCAATATAAAATGCTTATACAGGCAGTTCCCAAGTTATGAACAAGATACATTCTGCAGGTTTGTTCCTAAGTTGAATTTTATATAAGTCCTAACGGGTACATTTTAAAAGTGTGTGTGTGTGTGTGTCTATGCACACGTGCGTACACACACACACACACTCTTTGGATACCATAAGGAGAAGTTAACAACCCTGTGGTGTTTTGTTGTCCGTTCAGAAGATTCCACCTAACTTTCTGTTCCTGTGATAACTGAATTTTGAAAAAATTGACTTGTGGAAACAAGGATTGGTGATAAAGCTTCAGTGGGGACACCTTTCCCCCACGATAACTCTTTCAGGAGTGAACTTCCCTTCTGAGGGGTAGATATCTCTCACTTCCTGATGTCCCATTCTTAACATGGAGTTGTGTGTAAATCAGGGACTGCCTAAAATTAATACCCAAATCAGACATTAAGGAGAATGCATATTCCTTACCATGAACCTGTTTCCTTCCACTGAGATTTCCACATATATAGGTCTCTTTTAAAACCAACAAAATGCATGATGTTGCTTGAGTCAAAGAATTATTGCCTGAGGAAATTACCGCACACTTGTTGCCATCCTGCACCATTCCCAAATGTGGGATAGTAGCAATTTGTTGTCATGATGAGTGGCTTTGCACAACCACTGGTGTTGCACATTTATGATGCCTTGGCTGTGCAAAGCCACACTTCCTGGTGGACATTACAAATTCACCCTCACCTGTGGTGCTTCTTCTCTTTTTTTTTTTACAGTAACTTCGCGATTCCAGTTTTAGAGTTCAGCTATAAAGAGTTGCCAGACTTTGCCCATCAATACCCATGGCAGCTTTGTCACAAAGACCTGGTGGACCAGTAATAGAGATTACATGATGGTGTGCAACAGGGACCGTCACCAAAGGCAACAGATCTGTTACTGTGATGGTCTATCAACTCATTGCAGTGAGGGTCCTAGTTTACTTCTTTTCTCTCTACTCTCAATATATTTCCCATTTGTGTTAATGCTTTTTACATTTAAAGAATGAGGGCAAGAATTGTTTTATTATTGGTCTTTGGAAACAACTCTGGCTACCCTGCAGACCTGGGACAAAAGTCACGTGTCTCAATCTAGAGCAATGTTTCTCAACCTTCCTAATGCCGTGACCCCTTAATACAGTTCCTCATGTTGTAGTGACCCCCAACCATAAAAGTATCTTCATTGCTACTTCATAACTGTAAAATTGCTGTTATGAATCATAATGTAAATATCTGGTATGCAGGATGTATTTTCATTAACTGGACCAAATTTGGCACAAATAATTGATACGCCCAAATGTGAACACTGGTGGAGTTTGGGGAAAATAGATCTTGACATTTGGAAGTTGTAGTTGCTGGGATTTATATTTCACCTACAATTAAAGAGTCCCTTGAACCCCACTAATGATAGAATAGGGCCAAACTTCCCACACAGAACCAGTATGACCAACAGAAAATACTGGAGAGGTTTGGGAGGAATTAACAGTAGTTTAGGGGAGATGTATTTCACCTACCTCCGGAGAGCACAGTGAACCCAAACAACTATGGATCTGGACCATGTTTGGCAGAAATACCTGATACGTCCAAATTTGAATACTGGTTGTGTTGGGGAGACTGATTTTGTCATTTGGGGAGTTGTAGTTGCTGCCAAAGGTGTTCCTAAGACCATCAGAAATATGTGTTTTTGATGGTCTTTGGCAACCCCTCTCAAACCCCGTCACAACCCCCCAGGGACCCCTATCCCCAGGTTGAGAAACACTGATCCAGAGCAAGACACTGTTTGTCCCCTGCACCCGATGTTCAAAGCAATATGGTATCACACTGGGGAATTTCAGCTTCAGAGTTCAGATCTAAGCAAGCAGGCAAATTAAAAAGGACTTAAGTTTTGGATTTACATGCATTGGCAGTAGTAGTGGCTCTCGGTTCCTTTTCTAAAATGAATGAAGAAAATACTAGTAACCATATATGAATACACAACTGCTTGTTCAGAATTTATCAGTACATTTTCAAGCTGCCAATTTTTCTGTTCTCAGCAGTTGTAAGAATCACCCCAGTCAACCTTCTATTTTGGTAAAGAAACCAGAAGACTTCACTTTGTCCTCAGTGAGTTCAAAGGCTGCTTGAAAGCAGAAAATAGGTTTGCTTGACATCACTGAACAACATTTGCAAGATTCTAGTTCAGGTAAGAGAACAGACAATTGTAACATCTTCTCATTTTCAGTTCAGACTCATTCATTTAACTATTGAGAAATCTGCTACACTTAAGACTGGATGAAATGCAGACATATTTTAAACCATATTAATAGTTTTCAACGGGAAATAGAATAACAATAATTTGAATAATTCACAAACTTAATCCAGTTGTTCAATCACAGGCTCCAGCTACTGGATGGGTGATTGGAATGGATGCTGTGTGTGGAGCTAGTAAACAGCTCCTTGTGAAACACCCAAAAAAGACATATATGCACATAAAACCAAATTGCATTTGTTATGTGACTAATAAGACCTATGTTAACAATAATGTCAATCATCATAAAATCCTCATGAAACAGAGTACTGAGAAAGGGGGGGGGTGTCTTGCATGCACATTCTTTAACATATGGGACATAACTGCTTTGTGTACACACTTTGCTATTCTAGATACAATTACTAAAACTCAAGGTCAACAAATTGATATGTATTATTCTGCCAAAATACAATAAGAAATTTCTCATTTGGTCATAGGAAAGGGTCTTAGTGAGACCACTGGTCAATCTAGCCAGATATTGCCACTGGGGGAAGAACTGAAAGGAGTCACTCCTAGCCCTACCTGGGCACCCCTGGACTTTGGTCTTCATTGAGTGTTTCCCATACTGAGGAGACTCAAACTTATTCAGCTTCTAAACTCAAATAAAAGCACATGTACCCAGGGTTGTATAGTTCTTATATAAGGAATCCCTCTGAAATTAATTAAATAGCTTTACCACTTTTGAATAAAAGGCTATGCTATTTAAAAATAGGATTTGTGTTAGACCAAGGAACCTTGTGTACAGTAACTCTTCTTTTGCATAAATTCCTTATTCTAACTCTAAAGAGGCAAGGAATTTTAAAATTAAATGGCAATAGTACAGAACAATAGCACCAAAAAAGGAAGGTGGGTTTGGTTTCCCCTTGCAAATTTATAATTGTACAATAGGGGTTGGCAACTGAAGGTCGTATTAGCCCTCCAGGAAAACCTTGGAGGCCACACCCACTACCACACACAGACCCACATAGAAATCACCCCCAACTGCCACCCAAAACCCTTCAGGAACCCCATTTATGAGCCTCCGTTGGACTTAGAGGGCTTTTTGGATGAAGGCCAAAAACATTTTTGGTTTTTTCCCCCCGAAAATTCCAAAACCTTAGAAAATTTTCCTTTTTTTCCTGAAAGAAGTGTTTGGGAGTTATCTGTTTATGGAAGAGATATAAATGTACACAAATATTAAGGTGCACATTTGGAGACCTCTGAAGGATTCAAAAAAGTGGTCTGTGGTGACCCCTGCCCAAAAGGAAGACTGATCAACATTGTGCAGACTCACATTAGATTGTTTTGTTGTGAGAGGAATACTACAATTCAGAAAAGGTAAAAGGGTCTCAGCTAGAATATAAACAATCTCATTTTCAAGTGCCTTTCAGTAGACATAAGCAAATTTCTCTGAAATCCAGGAAAGGTATTGCAATCATTGTTGAAAATACAGGCTAGACCAGGCCTGGCCAAATTTCGGCCCTCCAGGTGTTTTGGACTTCAACTCCCACAAATACATAGAGCCAGTAGGCTTACCTTAAATCAGCACACAGTAAGCTTACAGAAGAAAAGGACTGTTTTCATAGGGGCTACAGCATACTTCCATCCCTGCTATAATAATTAGCAATAAAGTTCCTTTGAATGTCATGCAATTCACTATTTTGACCCCAGTAAAGGGGGGCTCAAAACATAGCAGAAATGCCATCTATATCCCCCAAATATCATTGTTGGGCATTCTGGAGCAAAAACAATGTATTTTTAACCCATGGGGAGTTCTAAGGACCACAAAAACACTCCTGTGGAGTACATGCAGCCTATGGGCTAAACTTTGCCCTCTCCTGCTCTAATGCAATCCAGAGGGAATTATTTTGAAATCCAAGCAGACTACACTGAAATCTATTTTCACCCTGAATGACTTTTTTTTGTTCCAGATGGATTTGCTGAATAATTGAATTGCGTATTTCTACTGGTATAGCTACTGAGGGAAATATAAAGTCATGATTGGTAATGGCAGTAATAATATGTATTGTCTAAGGCTTTCATGGCCGGAATCACTGCATTGTTGTAGGTTTTTCGGGATATATGGCCATGTTCTAGAAGCATTCTCTCCTGACGTTTCACCTGCATCTATTGCAGGCATCCTCAGACATTGTGAGGTTTCACAACCTCTGAGGATGCCTGCCATAGATGCAAGTGAAACATCAGGAGAGAATGCTTCTAGAACATGGCCACATAGCCCGAAAAACCTACAACAACTCAGTAAAAATAACTGGCAAGTAGTAATTTTTAATCTGTTATCTGCAATGTACTACTCATTCACAGACATTCTTAAAACATTACTTGATGAATCCGTACCATGTTCTCCATTTTCCTTTTCAGAATCATCAAGCCTGCTATTTTCCCCAGCTGCACTGGTTGGGCATTGTTTCATCAACTGTAATAGCTTGTTCTCATAGGTAGTCCTTGTGGAAGCTAAAAGAAGCAGGCCAAAAAACAACAGCTTTAGTACTGGCTTGTTATACTGTTCCCAATGCACTAAGATTTCAGGAGATTCTAAGTGCTCAGAATGGTTGAAAGGACTGGAGAATCTTATACACCACTAAACCCCACTCTGTTCTTAAAGCATCAAATTCAGGCACACAGTAATTCCAACTAGACTAAAATTCTACTGCAGCAGCTTCAGTAATTTATGTCTGTTTGGATCTTATACTGTCACCTGGTGCAGAATTCTTCAGGCGCATGAACACTGCTATCATTTTTCCCATTCATTCTTTTCTTTTTCAGGCCAAACCTGCCTTTTCTTTTATACCACTCACTCTCTTTGTCATTTTCTAAGCCAGTTCCAATTTGCCTATGTGGAGCGTGGGCATATTTTTCTGTAGATGCTGATGACCTGTCAACATTGCAAATGTTGATGGTGACAGAAGTCACATCCCGACATCATTTGGATGACAACATAGTCTCCTGCCCTGCCTTATATCATTTTAATTCTGTGTTGTCCAATACTGGACACAACGATCCAAAAATGTATTAGAAGTATTTCTGATAACTTTAAAACTATTGTTCTGTCAGTGAAGGCTAAATATTCATTCGTCAGTGAAGGCTAAATATTAATTAGTCTTATTGCATCAACTTTACAAAAATTACTCAAGTTTGGCCATTCGCTAGTTTCATTGTGAGATACGTTTTGCATGTTTTACAGCCACATCAAGTTAGCCTGTCCTTCAGTGCAAAACTTTGCATTTGTCATATAATTTCACTTTGTTAGTCTTGGATATCTATCGGCCAATTCATCCTATAAGTGTTTGTACTAATGGTCAAACCCAGGCCCGTAGCCAGGATTTTCATTTGGGGGGGGGGGGCTGAGTCTGAGTGAAAGAGGGTCTACCCTAGCAAACCTTTTGTATCGTTACCCCAATACCCCCATGCATATGGGATATATTGAGCATGGTGATCAGATCATGATATGAATAAACATAACAGTTTAAATAATATAAAAGTAAGGCCTTCTTGTGGACCACCATGAGAATTTCAGGGGGGGGGGGGCTGAAGAGCGAGGCTTCAGCACTCTGAATGGTTTCTTTTCCTTCCCGAAAAGACCATCAAAAATCAAGTAACTCTATTACAAAATGAGTGCATTTGCAAATATAAAATGTACAGAATGCAGCCTTTCTTGATGCCTACTGATGGTTACCCAAATGATGTTATCATGGTTTTTAGCATAGATAATGTACAAACCTGTTTACATTAGCTAAACAAGATGTGTATTTTGGAACATATTCAAAATACCTGCAGGATAAGACAAATAAAGAGTCTGAATAAATAAAAGCATATGTTCTACAGCAGGAGCTGAACATCCGGTCCTTCAGTAAAGAGTCATCTCAAATCATTTATACCTACCTGGTTAAATATAGCTTGACTCAGACTGGGATTGTTTTAAGAAGTAATTAACCACTTCTTTCTACCAAGAAGATTTAATTTCCTACCCACATATTGGGTTCTGCTGACCTTTATACCCTTCAACCAGTTTAAATCATCATTAAAGTGATGCCTACGTAATATTGGTCCAGCATTGAATCCATGTACAGAGAGCTGTTCTCGTAATTCAATGTCATTCAGAGAGCGAACTTCAATCACATCTTTGGAAGTTTGTTCTGCAGAGTCTTTTTCTTTGCTTTCTATGCGCACATCTACGGTAACCGTCTCCATCTCCTAATGATACAACCTATGAAACAGGATACAAGACCAGTTAAGAATTTTGTCTTAATGAAGTTTCCCATCAACTTGTGTTATATCTGAGTGGTAAACTTTATTTACTATCCTGATTTTAGAGGTTTTTTAAAATACAGATAGCCAGATTTTGTTCATTTTCATTGTTTTCTCCTTTCTGTTGAAATTGTGCACATGCTTGTGGATTTCAATGGCTTCTCTGTGTAGTCTGACATGGTGGTTGTTAAAGTGGTCCAGCATTGTGTTCAGACCCACTAAGAAAATCCTACAAATGCTACGTTCAGCAAAGAACAAAAGGGATCCTCTCACCTCTGCAGGAGTCTACCATATACCATGCAGCTGAGGACAAGTCTACATAGGGACCACCAAACGCAGCATTGCCCAAACACGAATCAAGGAACATGAAAGGCACTGCAAACTAAGTCAGCCATAGCAGAGCACCTGATGAATCAACCTGGACACAACATATTATTTGAGAACACAGAAATGCTGGACCACTTTAACAACCACCATGTCAGACTACACAGAGAAGCCACTGAAATCCACAAGCATGTGGACAATTTCAACAGAAAGGAGGAAACCATGAAAATGAACAAAGTCTGGCTACCAGTATTTTAAAAACTCTAAAATCAGGACAGTAAACAAAGAACAACACTAAAAAAACAGGGGAATTCCAGTCAGGAAACAATCACGGCCATCTAAAATCAGGACAGTAAAGAAAGAACAAGAGTCAAAAACAGGGGAATTCCAGACAAGAAACAACCAGGACCAGCTAACACCTCCCAACAAAGGATTCTCCCAGGCAGGAAGCAGCTAGGTCTTGAAGCTGCAAGGCTATTTAATGCTAATCAAGGCAATCAATTATAGCATTCACTCTTGACTCCAGACAAGAAACAATCAGGCCCAGTTAACACCTCCCAACAAAGGATTCCCCCAGGGAGGAAGCAGCCAGGCTTTGAAGTTGCCAGACTATTCAATGCTAATCAAGCTGGCCAATTGAAATATTCCCACTTGCTTCCAATAGACAAGAGCTCTTCCTCCCACCCTGGACATTCCACAAATATATAAACCCCATTTGCCCAGTTTCCAACAGGCCTCACGAGTTCTGAGGATGCCTACCATAGATGTGGGCAAAACATCAGGAGAGAATGCTTCTGGAACATGGCCATACAGCCCAGAAAACTCACAGCAACCCAAATAATGTATTTTAAGAGAGAGAAAATTATTTTCAGCTGGACAACGAAGACAGCTGACTGGAGGAAAATCAACTCATTTTGGAATGTGGTGCTGGACAACAGTGCTGGAAATACAGTGGATACCTCCAAAAGTTCAGTTAATAGACTGAACTCTGAAAGCCAAAATGATTACACTGAGGCTCTTGTACTTTGACATATTGGGAAATGACATGACTCACTGAAAAAGACAATGAAATTCATTGAAGTTGAAGGTAGAAGGAAAAGAGGAAGACTACGTAACAGGTGAATTGACTGGCTCAGTAAAGGCATCCACAGCCCAGACTTTGAAAGACTTGATTAGGTCTGTTCATAGTAGGATCTCTTGGAGGTCATTCATCCATAGCATTGCCATAAGTCAAAGGGAACTAGATGGTACATAACAACAAAGCCGTGTTAGTCTACTGCAGTAAATAAGTAAGCAACTTGTGGAAATTTTAAATTTATACAATTTGAGCATTCACTTTTAAAGATAATTTGTTTTTAGAAATATGGCTATTGGATATAGATTTACATGTTCTGGAGTAAACCCAAACTTCAAACTTAATTGTCCAACTCTTGGGAGTGGTGGTGGTGCTCATCTCCATTTCTAAGCCAAAGAGCCAACGTTGTCCGTAGACACCTCCAAGGTCCTGTGGCCAGCATGACTGCATGGAATGCCATTACCTTCCCTCCGGAGCAGTACCTATTGATCTATTCACGTTTGCATGTTCTCAAACTGCTAGAAGCTGGGGTTAACAACAGGAGCTAAACCTACTCCCCGAATTCAAACTGCCAACCTTTTGGTCAGCAAGTTCGCCAGCTGAGCAGTTTAACCCGCTGCGCCACCAGGGGGCCACTGTCACTTCATCATCCATAATGAAGAGCGTTGTTGTCTTTAGACACTCTCCCAATCAAATTACTGGCATGTCTGCATGGCTGCCTTTTATTACCTCCCCGCCAAAGCGGTACCTATTTATCTACTTACATTACTGTTTTTGAACTGCTATGTTAGTAGAAGCTGGGCTGACAGTTGAGAGCTCATGCCAACCCGGGCTTGAACTGTCGCCCTTTCGATCGGCGAGATTTTCTGCAGCTAGAAGTTTAACCCACTGTGCTAAAGCCCAGCCCTTCCTATTGAAGTCCTTCCTGTTCAGATTCCTACTGCTATACAATTCTTAAAGGTAAAGCAACTCTTATCATACAATTCCATAATCCCGTTAAAATATTATTTATTTACATTATTTTTATCCCACCGGTGGCTAACAATAACCATAAAACAATCAAAACTAAAATGCAAATCCACTAAAATATATAACAACAACAACAACAAACCACTTGGGTCATTCAAGCTATTTAAAAAAGGCATTAAAAACTACACAGCCACCCCAAAATCGCAATCACACCGTATCTATGTGATAGAGTGCATCTATAGAGAATGAATGCAGTAACTCAATGATATGGAATCCTGGGAATTGTAGTTCGTTAAGACACCAGCACTCTTTGACAAAGGCCAAAGAACTCATAAAACTACAACTCCCAGCATTCCATAGCATTGAGCCACTGTAGTGAAAGTGGTGCCAAGCAGCCTTAATTCTATAGCATAGATCAGGCATGGGGAAACTTTGGCCCTCCTGCTGTAAGAAATTGTGGGAGTTGTAGTCCAAAACACCTGGAGGGCCAAAGTTTGCTCATGCCTGCCTTAGATGAAAAGGATGTTTTATAGTCACACTTGTTCTATGATATCACCTCCCCAAACTACATTTTTCTTGTATTGTCAAAGGCTTTCATGGCCAGAATTACTGGATTGTTGTGAATTTTCTGGGCTTTATGGCTGTGGTCCAGAAGCATTATCTCCTGACGTTTTGCCCACATGGCAGGCATCCTCAGAGGTTGTGAGGCAAGTGAGGTTTATATATCGGTGGAATGTCCAGGGTGGGAGAAAGAACTCTTGTCTGCTCAGGGAGGTGTGAATATTGCAAATGGCCAGCTTGATTAGCATTTAATGGCCTAGCAGTTTTCAAGGTGTGGCTTCTTACTGCCTGAGGGAACCCTTTGTTGAGAGGTGATTAGCTGTCCCCGATTGTTTCTTCTGGAGTTCTCCTGTTTTTGAACGTTGTTCTTTATTTATGTTATGATTTTAGAGGGGTTTTTTTTAGTACTGGTAGCCAGATTTTGTTCATTTTCATGGTTTCCTCCTTTTTGTTTAAATTGTCCACATGCTTGTGGATTTCAATGGCTTCTCTGTGTAGTCTGACATGGTGGTTGTGAGAGAGAGTCCAGCATTTCTGTGTTCTCAAATAAAATGCTGTGTCCAGGTTGGTTCAGCAGGTGCTCTGCTATGGCTGACTTCTTTGGTTGAAGGAGTCTGCAGTGCCTTTCATGTTCCTTGATTTGTGTTTGGCCAATGCTGTGTTTGGTGGTCCCTATGTAGACTTGTCCACAGCTGCATAGTATACGGTAGACTCCTGCAGAGGTGAGAGGATCCCTCTTGTCCTTTGCTGAATATAGCATTTGTTGGATTTTCTTGGTGGGTCTGTAGAGAATTTGCATGTTGTGTTTCTTCATCAGCTTCCCTATGTGATCAGCAGTTCCCTTGATGTATGGCAAGAACACTTTTCCTCTGGGTGGATCTTCGTCTTTACTCTCGTGGCTTGTTCTCGGTCCTGCGGCTCTTCTGATGTCTGAGGTGGAGTATCCATTGGCCTGGAGAGCCCAGTTTAGGTGGTTCAGTTCATCTTGGAGGAGGTGGGGTTCGCAGATTCTTTTTGTAAGGTCTTCCAGAGCTTTAATTCACTTCTTTTTTTTACTTGAGTGATGGTTGGACTTTTTATGTAGGTATCTATCTGTGTGTATAGATTTTCTGTAAATTATGTGGCCCAATTGTTGATCTGGTCTGCGGATGATTAGGACATCTAGAAAAGGCAGTCTTCCTTCATTTTCTTTGTCCATGGTGAATTGGATGTTTGGGTGGATGCTGTTAAGATGGTCCAGGAATCTGTTTTGTTCTTCTTGTGATGGAGTCCTGATCTGTTCAGTTGTTGGATTTTATCAGTTCCAAGCAAACATGACAAAATTGAAAGTGGCTTTTGTTCTTTTTCAGATGGGTGCATATGTTCTTGTGGTACATGTTGTTTATATTGTTTGGTTGCTTTGGATCCTTCATAGATGAAAAGTGGGATAGTTTACACACCCATACACTATATATATATAGATATATTGCAGAGTTTGCCTCCCTCTCCCCATCAGACCATAGTTTGAAACATTATTTTATGTCGGGCATGGGCAACCTTTTTTATCTTGTGGCCACATTGTGGGCCCAATGGAGAGAGCCGGGAGGAAAGGTGGCCAGGCATGTACTGGATGAGGCAGGCCTGGGAGGGAGAGCTTGTGAGAGGTTGGGCCGAGAGGGGGTGGGGCAGGACCTGGGTCATCCTCAGGTTTCCCTCCTGGCATAAGGATGGGTCTTTACTAAATATTAGTAAAATATGAAATATTAGTCAAATATTATCCATTGTTCTTTAACCTGATTGCCCGAAGGCCTGGTCCCACAACCACAATTTTACCTTCTTTCTGAAGGTGAGGAGGGATGACAATGATCTAATTTCCCCAGGAAGCAAATTCCACAGGCGGGGGGCTACCACCGAGAAGGCCCTGTCCCTCGTCCCCGCCAAATGTATTTGAGACAAAGGCAAGGACAAGAGCAGGGCCTCCCCAGAGGATCTTAAGCTTCGAGGTGGAACATAGAAGGAGATATGTTCGGACAGGTATGCTGGACCGGAGCCGTATAGGGCTTTATAGGTCAAAACCAGCACTTTGAATTGTGTTCAGAATTGGATCGGCAGCCAGTGGAGCTGACACAACAGGGGGGTGGGTATTCTTCCTGTATGACGCTCCAGTGAGTAGTCTAGCTGCCTCCCTTTGGACTAATTGCAGTTTCTGAACAGTCTTCAAAGGCAACCCCACGTAGAGCGTGTTGCAGTAATCTATGCCTTTGTTACATGTTTTTGAAACTACCAGGCTATTCAATGCTAATCAAGCTGGCCAATTGAAACATTCACACCTACTTCCAACAGGCAAGAGCTCTTTCTTCCACCCTGGACTTTCCACAAATATATAAACCCAATTTTCCTAGTTTCCAACGGACCTCACAACCTCGGAGGATGCCTGCCATAGATGCAGGCGAAACGTCAGGAGAGAATGCTTCTGGAACATTGCCATACAGCCCGGAAAACTTGCACCAACCTACATTTTCCTTAATTAATATGACTAGACCTGTCAATCATCTCTTCCTCGCCATTCTTGAAAAGGTTTGGAGTTGGAGTGGCCAAGGAAGTTGTCCCTTGGTGTTTCTCCCCCTGGGTGTTGTCCCGCCTGGTTTTCCTTTCCAGGGACTCTGCACTTGATGAGGTTCAAGCAAGTGACGCCCCATGCCCCTTTGTTACGTGTCATGAATTGTGCTTTGACGCTCACGTGTGAAAACCCTTCGCTCGCCCTGGATTTCCATCCTTATTATCCCTTCTTGACTATGTTGTAATTTGGGCCCCGGCTTTTAAAGGGAAGCCAGGACTCTTAAAACTTCCCTTTCCCTTGCTTTACGGTGTAAAATAAATCCCCTCCGAGGAGGGGCATTCCGTGACCCCGACGTGATTCGAACACGCAGCCTTCTGATCTGGAGTCAGACGCGCTACCGTTGCGCCACGAGGTCTCCGGCAAGCTGCTCGGAAGCCAAGCTTCAAGAGTCTCCCGAATGCCTTTCCGCGCATGCGCACTAGACCTTATTTTTTGTACTATACATTGACTCACCGTTTGGGGGCACGTTATTTCCTTAAATTTGGCTACTCTTTGCTAAAGGTGAAAATAAACCACATAACTTTATTGCTTCCACCTCGCTTTTCTCCGCACCCCTGCGCTTCCCTCAGGAAAAGGCCCATAAGCGGGTAAAAACAATTGCGGGCCCTCCCGGGTTGCTTTGAATGCTTCGTTTTGACAGACAGCCTCTTCATGTCCAGCCAGCCAATCGCGAAGAAGACCACGCCTCTTTTGGGCGGGGCCTACAGGGAAACTAAGACTGCCAAGTTAAAAGCGCCGTTACGGTGGCACCTGCACCTCCCAAGGGGGTGACGTCATCACATCATCCTGATTGCCGTGCCACATTCCTATTGAATCATGGGAGTTGTAGTTCCACAAGGTATTTTACCTTCTCTGCCCAACAGTGCTGGAACCCCACTGAACTACAACTCCCATGATGCCTTAACATGTAGAGTTAAAGTGGTATCAAACTGCAATAATTCTACAGAGTAGGTGCACTTTTCCTCAGAAGGACAAATATAGCCTTTTCTTGGAAGCAGCCTTCCAAGTTTTAACATGGAGTCATGATAGTTAAAGAGATAGTTAAAGAGTTAAGGTAGGCTCAAAGCCAACCTTAAAAACTCTGGCATAGGAATTTATTTTTTGGTCGAGTCAGGAGTGACTTGAGAAACTTCAAGTTGCTTCTGGTGTGAGAGAATTGGCCATCTGCAAGGACGTTGCCCAGGGGATGCCTGGATATGTTGATGTTTTACCATCCTTGTAAGAGGCTTCTCTCATGCCCCCGCATGAGGAGCTGGAGGTGATAAGAGGGAGCTCATCCGCGCTGTCCCCGGATTCAAACCTGCGACCTGTCGGTCTTCGGTCCTGCCCCATTGCACCACTGGGGGCTCCTGGCATAGACACTGAGAACTAGGAAGCCCTGGCCCTTGAGTGCTCCAGGTGGAGGTCAGCTGTGACCAGCAGTGCTGTAGAATTTGAAGAGGCACGAATGGAGGGCGAAAGAGAAAAACGTACCAAGAGGAAGGTGCATCAAGCAAACCCCGACTGGGACTGTCTTCCATCTGGAAACCAATGCCCTCACTGTGGAAGAAGATGTAGATCAAGAATAGGGCTCCACAGTTACCTACGGAACCACTGCCAGTACACTGACCTTGGAAGACTATCCTACTCGGACAACGAGACATCGCCTAAGTATAATGGGTAAAATGGTGTCAAACTGCAATAACTCTACAGGGTCGTAGATGCACCCTTCCTCAGAAAGGCAAAATATTGCTTTTACTTGGTAGCAGCCTTCCTAGTTTCTAATGAAAAGGGTTCTTTTCTTAAGTGACTATGCTGATGTTGTTGAACACCCGAGAGCCCATCATCCCCAGCCAACATGTTCAATGCTAAGGGATGATGGGAGCTTAACCACATTTCCAACTCATTTCAACTTCTGATTCACATATTTAGTATTTAAATAGGTCATAGGTTGAAGTGAATACAGACAGTCCCAAAGTTACAAACAAGAAGGGTTCTGGGTTGCTGTAAGAAAGGTTCTGTAGGTTTGTTCTTAACTTGAATTTGTATGTAAGTCAGAACAGGTACATTTTTAAGTGTAACTATACACACACACACACACACACACACACACACACACACACACACATATACACATACATACACACTAGCCATCCCCTGCCACCCGTTGCTGTGGCCCAGTGTGTGTAAATGTGTTGTGTGTGTATATATTTGTGTATGTGTGTATATATTTGTGTATATTGTGTATATGTGTGTAAGTGTATGTGTATATTTGTGTATATATGTGCATATTTGTGTGTGCTTGCGTATATATATGTGTGTGTGTCTGTATGTATGTGTGCATGTGTATAATGTATATGAATGTATGTGTATATATATATATGGTTTATTTTGGGAGGTTTTTAAGTCTGTTCTTCTGTTTTGTGTGTTTTTAGGGGTGATGGACACACGTTGGACTATTAGGTGTATTGTGTCAAAATTTCATGTCAATCCATCCAGTGGTTTCTGAGTTACGTTTCTCACACAAACGAACATTACACTTATATATATAGAGAGAGAGATACTAGCTGTGCCCTGCCATGCGTTGCTGTGGCCTATCGTAAGAATTTTTGAAGTAGAGGTAGATATCTGGACTATCTGGATTTTACATGGCAGTGTGGAAGGGGTGACTTTGGATGCATCTACACTAGATTTAATAAAGGAGGATGAAGCTGGTGAGGGAAGGAGAAAAAGGAAGGAGTTCTATCTTTAAATCCTCATATTGTGTTAGCTTTTCCAGTTGCTTCTCGTCAATCCTGCTGTCACCTGGGTTTACAACATTAACGATCCATACTCCCCCCCCCCCCCACGATTGTGAGGTCGAGTATTGTGCTCCAAAACTCTGTCAGTCTGAATTTCGAAATCCCAGAGTAGTTTGATGTTTTCATTTTCTGTAACCTTTTCAGGCTTGTGATCCCACCACAAGCTGTTGGCTGTTGGCACATGGTATTTGGGGCACAAGTTTCAATCAGTCATCTGAGCAATGGTGTTATGCTTCTGCTTGTAATCCATCTGCGAGATCTTCTTGCGGCAGCTGGGTATATGATCCATCGTTTTTTCTGCTTCTTTGCAGAGTCCTTGCTGTATTATTATTATTATTATTATTATTATTATTTTATTGACATAAAAGCACAGTATGTCACAGCAAACAAGATCTATATGCTGGATTTTGTATCACAAAATCACAAGTCGAACACTTCCCAAGTGTCAAGGACTGTGTGATGTATTTTCAAATGATGCGTGCAGATCCAAGTAAGGTGGCCTTTTGCAGTTGACAGATCGTGACCGCATTTCCATCTACGAACCCACGCGTTCTCTTCGGTCATCTGGAGAGGCCCTGCTCGTGATCCCACCGGCGTCGCAAGCGCGCTTGGTGGGGACGCGGGACAGGGCCTTTTCCGTAGTGGCCCCCCAACTCTGGAACACCCTCCCCAAAGACCTTAGACAGGCCCCTTCATTGGCTGTCTTCAGAAAGAACTTAAAAACCTGGCTTTTCCGATGCGCCTTCCCAGATTAGGAAATCTCCACTACCAAGTCCCACAAGCACTTTACCAGAACCAATGATTGCTGCACACCGCACATCGCACTTGCCCTAGAAACCCTTTATACACCTCCTGTCAAATCAGCACTTTTAATTCTTGTACCCACCTTTTGGCCCGGCCCAGTTTTATTGTGTTTTAATGTATTGTGCCTGTTGCCTACTTTGCTTTATTTTGTTTTTAATTGTTTGATCTGCTGATTGTATTGTTATGTTGTGTTGTTTGAGGCCTTGGCCTGTGTATGCCGCATCGAATCCTTTGGGAGATGCTAGTGGGGTACAAATAAAAGTTTAATAATAATAATAATAATCGTGATTTTGTCGATGTTTATTGTTTCCAAATGCCGGCAGAGATCTTCTGGCACTTATTATTATTATTATTATTATTATTATTATTATTATTATTATGGCAGTGTAGAAGAGGCCTCAGTTAAATAACAAAGTAGATGTGTTCCTGGGTATTACGTCTTAAATTGAAAATTTGATATTAGTGGCTAATATGAAGAAAGGGAAGGTAGGTTGCTATACAACAACAAAGATGAGCAACTCCAAAGTGTTTTTCCTCAAGTTGTTTATTCAAAACTAACAGTATGTATATTTCAAGTGAAACAGGTTCAGCAAACTTCGCATAAGTAAACAGAAACATTCTGTACTTTCTGTAGACTCTTTAAGGCTACTTCCAAATTGCAAGCAAAGGTGATCTTTTCTTTCACTTATCTCCACTTTTCTAATGATTTTCATCTTGACGGTCACACCTATAGATCCTCCCAGTGCTGGTGCCGCTGAAACATCTGATTAGACCACCAGTGGGACCCAAGAACTAAAATATGGTTTGCGGCCTCACCATTAGTGTACCATTGCATCAAGAGCAACTGGTCTCGCAAAAACCTCTTAAAGTGCCAATGCAATGGGGATGTCGGGAGGGGAGAGGCTGACTTCCCACGAAAGCCGCAACTACAAACCTAACTGCGGCTTCCCCTCCTTCTTCCCTCCCCCTGAGCGTTCCATGTGGTGCCTGGAAGTCTTCCTTTTTAGGCCTGGTCCTGGGGTTATTTGGGGTGTCGATTCATAAAATTGCATTGGATAGATCACATCAGCTCTAGATTATGAAATACGGTTTTCTGTGGGCAAGCAGATGGTGACTACCGGATGGCATATGTTCTGTATCAGAAATTAGAGCCAATGTGGTCTATCCAATGCAGTTTTATGAATCAGCACCCGAAATAACCAAAACAAATCGAAAGTTGACCAAAAAGTGATTGTAACGTTTTTGGCACTAATGTTGGAGAATAGTCCCTGGTCAAAAAAAGGTTGGGAACCACTGGATTAGACAAAGGATGAGGAGCAGGAAGCTGTAAGAGTAAAAAGACTTTGGGAAAAGATGCAGGAATGTTTGTAGTGGTATAAGGACAGCTTGGATAAATGTTACTGATTTCAGTGGGACCCCAATGCAATCAACAAAACAGTCACAGCCAAAAGTAAGACACAGTGTATAAGTTTGCATAAGAAAAGGATTTTAAAAGGTAAGACATACTTTCTTGGGTGTCTGTATATATTGTATATTCAACAGACATCATTTATTCAAAATAGGGTCCTTTTGAACACAGTTTTGATGAACACAGTTTCCAAAGGACTTGTATTTGAAGTACTGAAGCTAAAATGCTTCCTAATTAATGGGATAGATTTTTAAGTCAATTAAAACAGATTGAAATTAATTGTTTGATCTTTCTTATAGAGAATTCCGTTTAATGTTGTGGTGTGACATTTCCTTTAACTGTTCGCCTAAGGCAGTACTGGAAGCAGTATGGCTCTGAATATTATTTGCAAGGGTATGTAAGTGGAAGGGCACGGTTGCATTTATGTCCAGCCAGCGGGTTGCTTACAGGCAGCTTGTGGATTTCCTCTGATACAACAAGGTTATTGTGTATTCTATATACTCATATATAAGTCTAGAAATTTTTGCCAAAGAATCTAAAAAAACTGGATTGATTTATCCATAGTTCAAGCTGAGTACTGTATCTTAAGTTTTATATACTGGAAGTCCCTGAGTTACAAACATCCGATTTACAACTCATAAGAACGGGGTT